AACTGGCAGTAGGATAGGGCTCTGTAATAAGCAGTAAAGGAACAGTGATAACTTTTATCATTTCCATAGCACTTAAATTTCTTTAATGGACTACATAATTTTTGATCAGTGTTGACAGCAGTCATCTATGGGAGATGAGTATTATAACCCACAGTTTACAGAGAGGGTGGAAAAACAGAGCAATCAAAGCCTGAACTTTCAAAAACATCCACTAAATTCAAGTGCCACCATTTTCAGATACCCAGCTGGAGCTATAAAGGGCTATGCAAAGGTGTGAACACTGGACTAGCAGTTAGCAGTAGTGGAACAGTATACTATAACACACAGATATTTTTCACTACAATAACTCTTCAGCTACAGCTTTCAGAGTACTCAAAACAACATATGATGCTTTACCCTCTTGTGTGAATCGGAAAAACACAGAAGGCATAAAGACTTTTCATGCTGTGTAAAGAGCTGGGTAATGAAGTGTGTAAAGGGTGCATGATATTTGAATGAGAAAGCAAAAAGATTTCTAATGACTATGTAAGAATAGGGTTCCTCTGCATTATCTGAAATGACATGCAATCTGACAATTCAAACAAATCCAGTGCTAATACTTTATTATATGTCCATAACTGAATGCTATTTACATTTCATTTTTTTCTTCAACATTACACACACACACAGAGGCATAGGCTCCATGTGTGATAGAGAAGGTTATCCGATCCTACTGATTTATGGTTTCGCATCATTGTAACACTGAGAAATCTGCTACTAACAGTTAGTCAGTTAAACGCAGAAAACGCATGACAAACTATTCACAACCAGCCTATGCTCTAACTAGGATAAGGCTCACTATCACAACAAGTGTGGTCATTTTAATTTTTATATTTTTAAAGTCTCTAAACAGTATTTTTTATTTACGACTTTTCATTTAACAGTCCCCTTCCCACTCTCCAAAGCACCCTCCTCTCACTCTGCACAAAACTTCGAGGACTAACAGCAATAACCATTCTCACCAATGGGCAAAAGGAAGCCCTAGAAGAAAATCAAAGGAGTTGGTTGGTTGTTTCTGGATGTTGCCTTTGATGTTCAAGCTGCAACTCTTCCTCTTAGTCAAGACCAACTTGATAGTCTTGACTGATTGGCATGGCTAACACTGCAACAGACGTTTTGCAGATCACATTAAACAGCTGTGCAAACTGCCTGCACTCACAACTTGGCTGCTGACATTATTTTTATTTGATGTGATCATAATGTCTCAGTGCCCAATCCTGGATCAGGAACACCATGTGACAACATTCCCCTCCTCTTCTTCCAGTCTCTTTTCTCCCAGACTGTTTGAAACGATGCCTCAGTGGGCAGGATGCAGGGAATAATTGGCTGGGAACAGAAGAGGCACCTGGCAACTGCTAAGAAGCTTATTTGCCAAAACCCCTTTTTGGCTCAGGCTTGTAACTCAACAGTCAAACACCAGGCAGAGACTCACTGAATAAGACAGATTTTTGCACAACTTCCAGGACAAAACCCTCAGCTATGTGGACAAGCCTAGTTAGAAACCATACTCAAAAGAGCCTTTCCCCCCTAAAACTGGGAGCAGGTCCTTGTTTAAAGTTTGTTTGGGTTTGGGGGGCTTTGGGGGGGGGGGCGGTGTTTGTTTGTTTTGCTTTGGTTGCTTCTGTGTCAAAGAATCATAGAATGGTTTGGGTTGGAAGGGACCTTAAAGGTCATCTAGTTCCAACCCCCCCTGCCATGGGCAGGGACAACTTCCACTAGACCAGGTTCCTCAAAGCCCCATCCAACCTGGCCTTCCAGGGATGGGGCACCCACAACTTCTCTGGGCAACCTGTTCCAGTGCCTCACCACCCTCAGAGTGAAGAAGTTGCAGAGTGAGAGCAAACAGTCCAGGAACATGCTGATATAATTACTACACTCCAAACTGCCCGAATGTTTGCAGACTTGCAGTTAAGAATTGTCTTAACTGAACTAGCTCACCCAATTCTGAATTAATTCACTCAAAATAAAGACCAAGTAAATTATAAAAGGCAACCTTATTTTTATTTCTGAAATCTGAAAACAGAATATTCCGAATTTTTCCTTAGTATAATGTTATCCCTTCTGTTGCCACATAACAGACTATAACGTTAAGTTAAAACTAATACTAAAAATCCCTCAACCCAAAAGGATAAACTGGTGATAAAAATATCTTATATAATAAGGATGGATAAACTGTATGACTTTCACACCAAGCACAGCTGGAAAATAAGTGAATTGCAAAATTATGATTTAATGATACCTTCTTTCAGAATTCTGTTCACTCTCAGATGCCTGGAAAATAAAAGCCCCAAGACCTCTGCTTCGCACGCAACTTAATGGCGAGACACATCAGTACCATTACTTTTCCCATCACTGAGGTGGACAGAGAGATGCATCTGACATAAGCAAACAGGCGAAGCAAAGTGACAGGAATAAGAACAGCTATTCCATATTAATAAAACAATGATTTTAATTTGGACTAAAGAATAGCTGAAGAAAAAAAACAAATCAAGTTTTGCGTGTGTTTGATATTAATTTTTGCCTGGATATGAGTTAACAGATGTCAATATGGAATATCTTTTCCAGAGAGGTGTTTGTCAATCTGTCAATAGCATTTTGCCTTTATGACAAGCAAACACTTGTTAACATCAATTGATTTGGTAAGTCTTCAGTCGTATCATCAATGACAGGCTTCAGAAAAGGGTGTCAAAGGAGCCTCAGGGGAAAAAGGAGAACAAGAACAACAAACAATTCTGTCCTTTAACTGCCTGTATTTTAGTGTTACTTTCTATTAGGAGTCAACTGTTATGTTCAGGACTAGAGCCAGTCGATGGTAAAACAAACCTGCTTACAGCCTAGTTTGCTTTACTCATATTTCTGTATTTCAGCTCCTATTAGGGAGACAGAACAAGGGAGAGGGATGGTGTGTAGCCAAAAGCCTGAGGAAAGACCACGTAGTCCTACGTCTGGGTTGCATCTCAAGTACATATACCATTTATGTCAGCATTAATGGACAACTCTCCTATACCAGTAACCTATACAATATTATTTTTATTCTATCAAGACAGCATGGGAGAAAAAGGTAGAGGATGTGACTTGCTTCAGGTTGTAGGTAAGATGCTTCTGGCCCTTGCCTAATTGTAGTCACTAAATACATCTCACCAAAAGCCTAGTCATTATGGGCTCTCATACTCACTAGGGTCTTCAAAAACATGACTCAGCCAGCCTGACATCTGAAACTTGATGTTGACTCTCTCTGCAGTGTGTATAAAAAAGCTGAGAGAAATACCTGCAGGAATTTAGGAGTATCAGACATGTGGGACAACTCCAGGCCAAAGCAGAGGGCAGAGACAGCAACCAAGCTTCAGCGCCCCAGACAGCAGATTTATTGACAAGACTGGTTTTTTGCAGCTTTAGCCTTTTGAAACCTTGTTGAATCCTACAGTCATCATATAGTAAATATAACAGTCCAGGTCTTCAGCATGAATAAAAACGAGCACCTGCGGAGCTTGGTAAGGATGTGAGAGTACTCAAGGATGAGGACTTCAGAGGATGGGTGAAACAGCACTTCATACATACAGGCCGGAGCTAGGCATCACTCAGAACCTCTGAAAATACCAAAGGAAACAACCTCTTCTACTTGACTGTGGGACAAAGAGGAGCAATGAAGCAGCCTGAATACCCACAATCAAGCCATCTTTCCCTCTCCTGTCACTACCTGAAAAGTAGTTCATTTTCTGCCAAAGCAGACTGTATTGGGTTTGCATGGCAAGGTTTTGGGAGCAGGGGGGCTACAGGGGTGGCTTCTGTGAGAAGCTGCTAGAAGCTTTCCCCATGTCCAATAAAGCCAATGCCAGATGGCTCCAAGATGGACCCACCACTGGCCAAGGCTGAGCCCATCAGCGATGGTGGTAGCGCCTCTGGGATAACATAGTTAAGAAGGGAGAAAAAACTCGCCAAACAGCACAACTGCAGTGGGAGAGAGGAGTGAGAATATGTGAGAGGAAGAGCCCTGCAGACCCCAAGATCAGTGCAGGAGGAGGGCAGGAGGTGCTCCAGGCACGGAGCAGAGATTCCCCTGCACCCCCGGTGCAGCCCATGGTGAGGCAGCTGTGCCCTGCACCCATGGAGGCCCCCGGGGAGCAGAGATCCCCCTGCACCCGGGGAGGAGCCCACGCCGGAGCAGGGGGATGTGCCCCAAGGAGGCTGTGACCCCGGGGGAAGCCCGCGCTGGAGCAGGCTCCTGGCAGGAGCTGTGGCCCTGTGGAGAGAGGAGGCCAGGCTGGAGCAGGGTTGGGG